ACCATTAAGAAAGTAATAAAGGGAAGAATATTTTAAATATATTTGACAAATGACTTGTATGGAGAATATAAAAAGAACTCCTACGAGTCAGTAAACAAAGGCAGATGACCCACTAGAAAAAAAGTGGGCAAAGACTTAAACTGGCATTTCACAAAGTAGGATATCTAAATGGCCAAAAAACATATGAAAAGATGTTCAATATCAGAGAAAAGCAGATTAGAATTCCAGTGAGCCAACAAACTCAGGAAAAAATGCTCAACATCATTAGTTTAGAGAAATGCAAATCAAAACCACAGTGAGGGACCACTTCACGCCCATTAGAATGGCTTTAATAAAAAGAAGTCTTTTTAAAGAAAAATAACATGTTGGCTAGGATATGGAAAAATTGGAACCTTACATTGCTGGTGTCAGTGCAAAACAGCACAGCCATTGTGGGAAAAGTTTGGCAGTTCCTTAAAAACTTAAACAGATTTAACTATATGACCCTGTGGCTCCACTCCTAGATGTGTGCAGACAAAAGAATTGAAAACAGACTAAAGCAAGTACATATGCCTGAGCCATTCACAAGAGCCTCATGTGGGAAGACCCCAAATGTCCATCAGTGGATGAATGAAGAAACAAATTATGATATATCCATATAAGGAAACATTATTCATCTGTAGAAAGGAGTGAAGCACTGATATATGCTACAATGTTGATGAACTTCCAAAACATTATACTAAGTGAAAGAAGCCAGACACAAAAGGTTACATATTCCGTGACTCTATCTGTATGATCCTGAATACATCAATCAGTAGGGACAGAACACAAACTGATGGTTGCCAGGTGCTGAGGATGGGAGGAATCGGGAGGGGAATGGTAAGCAACTGATTAGTGGATAAAGGCTTTAATTTTGGAGTGATGGAAATGTTTTGGAACTAGATAGACATGGTAGTTGTACCACATTGTTAATGTACTAATTGCTGCCAAGTTGTTCACTTCAAAATGGTGAATCTTACGTTATATAAATTTCACCTTAGTAAGTTCCTATTTTTAAAAACTATGAAATACCACTACATATGTACCCACCAGAATGGGTAAAATTAAGAAGACTGTCATTTCCAGGTGTTGGTGAGATGTGGAGCAACTGGAACCCTCCGTTACTGATAGGATCATTAAAGTCAAACAAACGTATGCTGTCTTTTGACCCCAGCATTCCACTCCTGCCATTATGCTGAAAAGAACACATACAGCCATCAAAAGACTTGTACAAAAATATTCTTAGCAGCTTATTTGTTCATAATAGCCTAAAACTATATACAACCTAAATGTCTATCAAAGTAGAATTAAAGAATAAATTGTGCTATATTCATACATGGGATACTACACAGCAACAGAAGAATGAACTACTGCTCCACAATAAGACAAATTTCACAGAAATAATGCCGAGTGAAAGAAACCAGACCCTCTGGACTGTTTTATATCCTCCTTATTTGAAGTTCAAAACAGACCAAAGTACGGAGATAGATGTCAGAATAATCTTTGCTGGACGGGGAGAGTGGTAGTTACTGGCAAGGGAGCTTGAGACCTGCCTGGGATGCTGGAAATAAGTCTCCTGTATCTTGATCTGAGGGGTGATTTATACAGGTATATACAGATATATAAAATAACCAATCTATACACTCAAGATCTGTATGTTTTACTATGTTTTACCTTTAAAGAAAAACACACAAAAAGCAGTCACCAGCATACATGTGCTTGCAGGGAAGCAGTGAAAGAGAATGGCTGAGAAGTACAAGGTTGTAGAAGGCCTTGAATGGCAGGGAAGTGGCAGATGTTTGGATCCTATCCTGTAACTCTGGTAGGTTTGAGGGAAGGAAATGACATAATGGAACCAGATTTTCAGAGAAACAGATCTTTGAAGGTGTGTCTGGTGGACTGAGGGACTGGTCTGCAAGTGGGAGAGAGGCTGTTGGCGCCGGACCTGAATTAGGGTGATGCTGTTGGAAATGGAAACGGTGGAGGAAGTAGAGTTATTAAGGCTGCTGACTGGTTGGGCAAGCATAGCAAAGGGTGACAGAGCAAAGAAGACTGAGGCTTCACACTGGATGGCTGGAAAAAAGATGGTCCCAATAGCAGAGTTAAGAAGGCCAGGAGGAGGAGTCAGTTTTTGGAAGTAAAAGGATGAGTGGTTTTAAGTGCTTTAATTTTGAAGTGGTGACAGGCAATTGTTGGGCTCAGGAGAGCAGTCAGGCTGGTGATGGAAATCTGAGACTCACCCACGTACAGATTATTTTGAGTAGGTAAGATCCCCTACAAGAAGGAGTGTTGCAGAGAGACTGCAGAAGGCCAGCTCTTAGAGAATAAGGAGGTGGAGGGGAAAAAGAAACAGCAGTTGTGGGTAGAACCAGGATAACAGAATAAAACCAGGATTGCTTAAGCCAAATGGAGAGAGAGTGGGAGATGACGATGTAAAGGGAGAAGACACAGAAGTGGGAGAGGAAAAGTAAAGATTGAGACCGTGACAGAGTTGGGATAATTGAGGGAACATGGTGTTGGAGAAGGCAAGAGTAAACAGGATCTGGAAGCAAAGGTGGAGGAGGTAGCCTGGGGCAGCCTTACCTGTGAAGGAGCCAGATGTATGCAATCAGATCACGAGCATTTGTCAGCATCTTCAGTGATTTCCCCTTGCAGTGTTCTTTGTCCTCTAAATAGGAACTGAGGGTGACCCAGGGTTGAGAATGAGCCAAGGAGTTCAGGTGTTTGGACTAAGGGGTTCCAGGCACAATCCTGTTCTCTGTGAAAGGGATACAAATGAAGTTTAAGACACCACCCTTGCCTTCTGGGAATTTACGTGGCGCAATTTAACAATGATTAAGAGCCAAAACAAGTGTGAATAGGATGTTTTGAACTCTGACTTTGTCATTGTCTAGCTGTGTAGCTTTGGGGAAGCTATGCAGGTCTCAGTGCCTCTGTTTTCTCATCTGTTAAATGGGGGTGTTAATATCTACCTCATATGTTGTTCTGGAGCTTAAAAGAGTTAATACAAGCAAGATGCTTGGAACAGTGCCTGAAATGTAGTTAGATGCATGGTAAATGTTAGCTAATATAATGATAAAGCTGTAGGAATTCACAAGGGGAAAAAATTTGTAAAGGCTGGAGCTGTTAGCTGTGTAGGGTAGCGATTTAGTGGAGGCAATTCAGAGATAAATAGGAGGACAGGAATGAGGGAAAAGGAATTTGAGGTTGAGGAGAACATTGTTAATACATTCTTAGATCAGTAAAACCACTGGTTGGTTTTAACTGATATTGTTCATAATAAAATAAGGATGAGCTGTAGAGTCAGAGCTCTTTGGTTGTGATTTTTATCCTGGCCCTTTGACTTCGGGCAAGTTGGCCAATTTCTTTAGGACCCCAGGTTTCCTAATCTGTAAAATGAAATGGGCTGGATCTGTAAAATCCCTCACAGCTCTAAAATTCCATGCTTTATACATGAAAATGATTTCTTGGAGCCCCATTGTCTGTGGAACCATTGTTTTTTTTATTAATGCAGTATGAGGCTAACTGGTCTGTGTTGGGGCAAACTTGTGGCTCTGGCCTCATTAGTCCCAGGCTGTGAGCGGTGAGCTGACCAGCCCACATACAGACAGGACACGCTGCCTCTGCCGCATTCCCCAGTCAGGACCACTCGAGAAGCCTGGGATCTCTGTGGGTGCATTTATGAAAGGAGCTCTTGGGTATTTCACTCCCAAATTATTTAGAGTTAACTCTACTGTCGCCCTCTTGAGGAACTTTGAGTTTTATGGTTATTTGCTTTGAAGTAGACCCTGAGGGCTAAGTAGGAGGGAAAGAACAGTTTTTAGCCTTTTAGAAAAATTTCCTGCATCATCTTTGTGGAGCTCAAACCTAAAGAAACAGCAGCACTGTGAGCACCCGGTGAGCTGCCAGTTCACGCTAAGACTCACCTGCTTGGGTCATTTTGTGACAGTCACCGAACGCTGCTGCCTTTGACATTAGGTGTTCCCCTGTTTCTAGGATATTTTTAAATAACCCAGGGCCCTACAGATGTAAGTGGAAACAGGCTCTTTAAATGCTATGCTTAGACATCATTGCTCTAGTATCGCCCTGCTTCAGTTTTCTTTGTAGAAGGACATTTTGTTTGTGATTTTGCTCTCACTTCTGTCCTTTCTGGTTTGGGCCCTTCTACAGTTGCATGCAGGCCCTTTTGCTGTCATTCACCCTGCAGTGCTGTTATATCAGGGAAGTTCTTGAAAATTCCTCTCCCACTTGCTTTTCCCCATTGCTGAGTGGGAAGTATATAGAGCAATATCTGCCCTGTCCACAGAGAAAAGGGCTTGATGTTTCCCTGGCAGGGGCTTGGTCGTCAAAGAAGGCACTTCTGGACTTTTATACTGGATGGATTTTACACAACTTGGTGAACTAAAAAATAACTTGTAATGGAAGAGTTAGAGCAAATGAAAGCTTTTTTATCTATATTTCATGCCTCCACAGTTTTGAAGGGCTTAGTGTTTCCAGAAGCTGAAATTTGAAAGATGATGGTTTACCTTGTGTTGTCCTTGGAAGAAAGAATATTTCTTTAGGGAACAGAGTGCCAGGAAAGGAAGGTGACTTGAGCATATAAGGATTCCAAAGCTACCAGGTGCCTCTGAGTAATGTTAAATATGCCTTCTTAGTTTAGAATAGAAGTTCTTAAGATTATGGAATATATCTTTGTAGTTGTATGTGGTTCTTAACAGTGAGCTGCATCTAAGTAAATGATAAAAACTAGCAATTCAGGAGACTCCCATCTTTTGAGCTCCCTGACTCATTCCCTTGAGGTGTGATTATGACCATCACCTAGTCCATTCATGCCACAGATTTTCTGAAGAGAAAAATAACCTTGGCATGGAAGACACTATGTATTGCAAAGGCTGGGAATAAAGGTTGAGAGAGATGGTTTAGTCTGGCCTCTTTTTAGAGCAGTGATTGATTAATGCTGTCTGTGTTTCTGTTCCTTCCAGAGCTGCTCTGTCCTGGACGCAGCATAACTAACGAAGCTGCTGCAGGATGAGAAGATGGCAGCGCGGCTGCTCGCACCACCAGGCCCTGATAGTTTCAAGCCTTTCACCCCTGAGTCACTGGCGAACATCGAGAGGCGCATTGCTGAGAGCAAGCTCAAGAAACCGCCAAAGGCCGACAGCAGTCATCGTGAAGATGATGAGGACAGCAAGCCCAAGCCCAACAGTGACCTGGAGGCAGGGAAGAGTTTGCCTTTCATCTATGGGGACATCCCACAAGGCCTGGTCGCTGTACCCCTGGAGGACTTTGACCCATACTATTTGACGCAGAAAGTGAGTTGAAGGAGAGGAGGAGCAGCTTCACATATCCCTTTCCTAACACAGGGGAGATGGGGAAGGAATTATGTTTCTTTGCCAAAGTTTGGATAAGTTGTTAACCTCTTGCTTCAGTTCTGGTTTGTGGGATAATTTTTCATATTAATTCCTGCTGAGGGTCATTTGTGGGTCTTGGCATTTCTCAACTCTGTTAATAAGACTTCTGTTTTTTGGCTCCAGGCCAGATCAGAAAAAGATTAAAACAGATTTAAAAAAAATAAATGAAACGCCACTGCTAATAGAGTTCAAGGAAGATGGCATAGTAAAAGATGATATAGCCCTGTAGAATCTCTCTTGCACACATTCAAAATTCTATTTTAAATATAAAGATGATATTACTATTCCAACGTCAACAGAGCCTGTTGTTAATATAATGGAGCCGACGGATTTATAGTCTTATCCAGTTCCCTTTGTGACATGAGATCATAGCTCTTGTGGACAAGAATAGAATAGAAGAAATCAAACTGGGCCAGTGGGTAGACCAGGTCTTTGGCCTTGTTACACAGTCTGGGTTGAGCCAGTGCGATTCTTACATTAGAGTCAGTTCTGTTATTCCTGCTAGTAAGGAGCACGAGTAAAAGAAATAGGAGGCTTCATTTGCCTAGAGCTTCAAACTTCCCTAACAATATTTGACTCAATCTTGGGTTTCTTTCCCATGATTATCATTTGAAACAAGGCAACAAGTAGAGAAGCAAAGCCCCTGGTTAACCTGCCAGCCAAATCATTAGTCATGAAAAACTGCGGACTGACGTCGGACACTGTTTTAGGGATCCCTCGTTTGACACGTCATTTAAAGAATTAAATCGATAGGTGTTTCCAGATGAGAGGGGAAAAGGCTTTATATAATTAAGTATCACAAGTATAAAGCTTAACTACACTGCCTTTTAACCTGCCCTTAACTAAATTGCCTTTTAAACTTCCAGTTTTGGAAGAAATTTCAGTTTCTTTGGTTTAATAATGGCATGGACGTAAGATAAGGCCAGTAGGTCTGTTGACTCTGCTTTATATAGATGTGGAGGCATTTTCAGTTCCAATAGCAAAAAGCAGTTACGACACTATCTGCACAAAATGGACCGTCACCCGTGCTCTTCTGTTGCAGCTCAGAACAGCTACAGAATAGAAAAAATTAGAAGTGGTGGCCTATATCCTTCACTGGGAAATTTAGGAAGTTCAATGAACAAAACATGATATGAAATGATATGATATGATATGAAGAACAGCGGGCTAGAAGAAATCCTGTCTCTACCATAATTCACCATGTTTATTATTTACATTTTTCTTTTTTAGTATATGTATTGTTCAATCTACCACAAACAGTCTATGGGAAAAGAAAGTAATAAAGAAAAACACCTCAAAACAATCATGTCCTTTACCAAGTCAATGCATCTCTCTGGGCCTAAAATTTCATTTCAAGAAACTGAGAAGTTAGAAATTACAAGGACTTTTTCAAGTATCAAGTTCTGGAGCAAAATAGTTTTCATAAGCTGTCATTGGTTTCATCATTTACTCTTCCCTCCTTTTAAGTCTAACATTTTTATCTGGGCGTTTGCTGAGTAGGGGTAGGTGTGCAAGGGAGGAGTCGAGGTTTAACTGTCTGGGTTAGTGAATAAGTGAACATGGAGGAGTCTTGGACTGTTTTTAGAAAAAATGTTTCATCCACTGAAAATTTAAAAAATATTTGTAGATGTATTTTCCTTCTTTTTCCTACCTGCCCCTTGCATCCATGATCTTAGTTGAGTTAAATGACAAATCACAGGGTTTAGGTTGTGCCTATTTACATAAGTTTGGCCAATTGATATATCTTTTTCAGAAAGTGCTTTTACAGCAATAAGCAGAGAGGTAAAGGCCTTTGGACCCTGGCCTTTCAGTGGCTAAAACCTCTATGCTTTTATTTGAATGATTTACTTTTCCAACTCAAGTGCAAATTAAATTTTATTTTCTTAAACCTGACTTAATATATGAAAAACAGAGAGAGCTATTTGTCAGAACCCAGTTTTCCCTCGCGTGCCTTTTTGCCTGCTTCCTGCCCTACGGACAACCTCTTTTCATTCCCAGTGCCTCAGATGTCAGTGGCCCTGGCTTGGGAGTGAGGACCCAAAGTGGGTGGGTCTCCAGTCCTGAGGGGTACCTCCCCTTGGGTAGGCCAGATGTTGCTGGAGTTCCATTAGGGAACTGGCTCTTCACGGTAGAAAGTCTAATTTCAGCCTTTGGCCTCACCACAGGGTAAGTACTTTGTGGAAAAGATAACTTTAATTGTATTTTGTGTAATCCTTTTTTTAAAAACTGAAATACATCACTATACAGAAAAGTTCATAAAACATAAATGCATAGCTTAATGATTATTATAAAACTAACAAACACCCATGACAAGAAAGAATATTAATATCACTTCAAAAGTATTAATTGTACTTTTAATTAATGGATTTTAAAAATAATTTTATTGATATACAGTCTTATTTTAGTTTCAGGTATACAACACAGTGGTTCAACAGTTACCCATATTATTAAATCCTCACCCCAACTAGTGCAGCTACTATCTGTCAATATAGGAAGACATTACAGAATCATTGACTGTATTCTTCATGATGTCCCACTATCCCCAAGAACAACCTACATTATGATTGAGAATTTTTTTGCCCCTTTATCCCCCTTATTACCATACCTACCTATTCTTCATGATGTCCTACTATCCCCGAGAACAACCTACATTATGATTGAGAATTTTTTTGCCCCTTTATCCCCCTTATTACCATACCTACCCCAGTGGTAACTACCAGTCCTTTCTCAGTGTCTATGAGTCTATGGCTGTTTTGTTCATTCTGTTTTGCTTTGTATTTATACTCCACAAATAAGTGAAATCATATGGTATTTGTCTTTCTCCTCCTGGCTTATTTCACTGAATGTAATACCCTCTAGATCCATCCACGTTGTTGCAAATGGAAGGACTTCTTTTTTTATGGCTGAATAATATTCCATTGTGTATATGTACCATGTCTTCTTTATCCATTCATCTATTGATAGACACTTAGGTTGCTTCCATATCTTGGCTGTTGTAAATAATGCAGCAACAAACATAGGGTTGCATATGTCTTTTTGGATCAGGGATTTTGTGTTCTTCAGGTAAATTCCTAGAAGTGGAATTGCTGGGTCAAATGATATTTCTATTTTTTGTTTTTTTGAGGAACTTCCACACTGCTTTCCACAGTGGCTGCACCAATTGAGATTCCCACCAACAGTGTAGGAAGATATCCATTTCTCTACATCCTCACCAACATTCGTTATTTCTTGTCTTTTGGATAGTGGCCATTCTGACTGGTGTGAGATGATAACTCATTGTGGTTTTCATTTGCATTTCCCTGATGATTAGTGATGTGGAGCATCTTTTCATGTGCCTGTTGGCCATCTGTAGTTCTTCTTTGGAGAAATGTCTGTTCAGGTCCTCCACCCATTTTTTAATCAGGTTATTTGTTTTTTTGTTGTTGAGGCATATAAGCTTTTTATATATTTTGTATGTTAATCCCTTATCAGATAACTTGTTTATGAATATATTCTCCCATACTGTAGGTTGCCTTCTTGTTTTGTTGATGGTGTCCCTTGCTGTACAGAAGCTTTTTAGTTTGATGTAGTCTCATTTGTTCATTTTTTGCTTTTGTTCCCCTTGTCCAAGGAGATGTGTTCAGACAAAAGTTGCTCATGTTTATATTCAAGAGATTTTTGCCTATGTTTTCTTCTAAGAGTTTTATGGTTTCATGTCTTACATTTAGTTATTTGATCCATTTCAAGTTTACTTTTGTGTATGGAGTTAGACAGTAATCCAGTTTCATTCTCTTGCATGTAGCTGTCCAGTTTTCCCAACACCAGTTATTGATGAGGCTGTCTTTTCTCCACTGTCTATTCATGACTCCTTTATATCATATTGATTGACCATATATGCATGAGTTTATATCTGGGCTTTCTATTATGTTCCATTGATCTATGGGGCTGTTCTTATGCCAGTACCATATTGTTTTGATTATTGTAGCTTTGTAGTATAACTTGAAGTCCGGGGGTATAACTACCCCCAGCTTTGTACTTCTTTCTCTGGATTGTTTTGGCTATTTGGGGTCTTTGTGGTTCCATGTGAATTTTAGAACTTATTTGTTCTAGTTCATTGAAAAATGCTGTTGGAATTTTGATAGGGATTGCATTGAATCTGTAAATTGTTGTGGGCAGGATGGTCATTTTGACAATATTAATTCTTCTATCTATGAGCAGGGGATAGATTTTACATGTGTCTTCTTTAATATTTTTCATGAGTGAGTGTCTTACAGTTTTCAGAATATAGGTCTTTCACTCCCTTGGTTAGGTTTATTCCTAGGTATTTTATTATTTTTAATGCAATTGTAAATAGAATTGGTTTCCTGATTTCTTTTTCTGCTAGTTCATTGTTAGTATATAAGAATGTAGCAGATTAACTTTTTTACCAATCAATTAACTTCTTCAACAATTAACTTCTTTACCAATTTGGATATCTTTTATCTCTTTATCTTGTCTTATTACCATGGCTAGGACATCCAGTACTGTGTTGAATAAAAGTGGACATCCTTGTCTTATTCCTAATCTTAGAGGAAAAGCTTTCAGCTTTTCACCATTTAGTATGATATTAGCTGTGGGCTTGTCATATCTAGTCTTTATTATGTTAAGGTACATACCTCTTCTGTCCATTTTGTTGAGAGTTCTTATTCTGAATGTATGTTGAATTTTTTCCAAGTGCTTTTTCAGCATCTATTGAGATTATCATGTGGTTTTTATCCTTCTTTTTGTTAATGCAGTGTATGCTATTGATTGATTTACAAATATTATACCATCATTGCATCTCAGGAATAAATCCCACTTGGTCATGATGGGTGATCCTTTTGATGTATTTTTGAACTTGGTTTGCTAATATTTTATTAAGGATTTTTGCATCTATGTTTATT